TTTGAGATCAGCCTGAGCAACATAGCGAAACCCCATCTCTACAAAAATACAATTTAAAAATTAGCCAGGAGTGGTGGCATGTGTCTGTCTGTGGTCCCAGCCTACTTGGGAGGCTGAGGTGGGAGGCTAACTTGCCCTGTGAGATCCAGGCTGCAGTGAGTGGTGACCATGTCTGTGCTCTAGCCTGGGTGACAGAGCAAAACTCTGTCTCCGAAAAATAAAAATAAAAATAAAAAACACAGAAGCTGAAACTGAATAGTAGTACTGGGACATAAAGAAGTCACCTAGATAATCATGAACAAGTCTATGGGTTTAAAAAAAATTATCCAAATACATTATTCAAGTATTTGAATATTAATTTGACATCCAATTATTATACAAATAAACACAATTTTAAAATATTCTCATTTATATTGCATATCCTTTAAAAACATAGCTGTGGATTTCAGTTTGAGAAGCAGAGTCATTTACTATTTTTCTTAGGAGTCATATGCCCCTTATCCCAGAAAACTGCAATTTTGCAACATATATGTGAACGTAGTTTCATAAACGCCTCAAACCCATCATCAACCTCAAGTTAACTCTCACTTTAATGAAATTTCCTAAAATGCCTTCATCTGCAGCTTACTCTGGGAGGTTGGGCTAATTTAAATACTGTAAAACACTTGCCTTTCATCCAAAACAGAATCATTGCATGGCCAAGGAACCCTTAGGCAGCATGCCAGTCAGTTTAATAGCCCCTTCAATTTTACTAAACGACCTATGACTATCTGAAAGATTACCTCCAAGGCTGAAAACCCTGTGAGGGATTTTTTGTACCAGGCCCAGGTGTAGTGGACCTTTGCCTTGAGTTTAACCCAGCTTCTCTGCAAAAACTTCCAAAGACATACAAAGCTCAAAGTTCCTTGTTGCAGCTGTCCATCAGCACTCACCTTCAGGCCATATGAGGTCTAAATGAGAAACACAAAAGCTGAACAGTCTCTGGGGTAGCAAGTATGGAGAACTGTAAGAGTTTTCTCCCATGCTGTTAGAATGCCATTTTTTTTCTGAGACAGAGTCTTGCTCTGTCACCCAGACTTGGAGTGCAGTAGTACGATCTAGGCTCACTGCAACCTCCACCTCCCAGGTTCAAGCGATTCTCCTGCCTCAGCCTCCCGAGTAGCTGGGATTACAGGCACGCACCACCATGCCCAGCTAATTTTTGTATTTTTAGTAGAGACAGGGTTTCACCATGTTGGTCAGGCTGGTCTTGAACTCCTGACCTTGGAATTCACCCACCTCAGCCTCCCAAGGTGCTGGGATTACAGGCGTGAGCCACTGCACCTGGCTGGAATGCTTTTTAAGACATGGGATTACCCTTGGGATTCTCTACAGGCACAGCATCAGCACCTCTTGGCTGGTTTTCAAGGCCCACTTTTTGAAATAAATTACTTAGTTAGAAATAATGTAAGAAAAAGCAAAATTCCCTCCTAGAAGAGTTACCAGAGGAGAGTTCAAAACAAATGCTGGGTCTACTTGAAAAAAACGAAACCAAAAATGTGAAGGACTATGCTGACAGTTAACATGGAGCTAATTACAGCATGTTTCAAAAGGGGAATCCTCATTTTACACAAATAATTTTCACAAATAAAATTACTCCTAAGACTTCAATTTGGAGCCGCTATGTGATAAAATACTCATTCTTTACGTTAAATGCTGTAGGTGTGGCACTGAGTTGTAAATCTACAACAGTGGTAAGATGACCTTGTAAAATCAGCTATACTGCTGCAGTATGTGTGCTTAGGTTTTTAGGGTTCCGTGTGTCTTTGATTGTGGAATAAAAATCTGAATTATTAATCCTTTCAATTTTTCTTTTAAGCAGAATTTCCTCATGTGTCATCATCCTATATATACAAATGTGATCAGATAAACTGAGCTAACTCTAACTTCGCCAGATTGTACAAATGATACCAAACATAATTTTACTGTATTATCATCAAACTTTATGGCAGGAGGTAAAAAGCACATAAGATAAATGCTCAGTCTACTGTTTTCCACTGAACTGATTAAGAGACAAGATCAAATACACCTGATGAAGAAGGTAATTTATGCCAGGAAGAATGTAAATTCCAAGCTTCTTTTAAAATTATTTTCAATGTATTTCACAAGTGCATATTGACTAACGTTAAATTAGTATTCTTAAAGTTTAAAAAACATGGTCATAGATATTCCTGTTGGAAACTGCTTTCTACAATTGGCCTGACCCGTATATCTATCTGGAACTATGCTCTTCGTACATATTTATATGTGGTTATATGTTTTTGCTATTTTGAAGGAAACTATATCAGAAGAATAGAAAGTGGTACATGTAGGCTGGGCGCAGTGGTTCACGCCTGTAATCCCAGCACTTTGGGAGGCCAAGGCAGGCACATCACAAGGTCAGGAGATTCAGACCATCCTGGCTAACACCGTGAAATCCCGTCTCTAATAAAAATACAAAAAATTAGTTGGGCGTAGTGGCATGTGCCTGTAATCCCAGCTACTCAAGAGGCTGAGGCAGGAGAATCACTTAAACCGGGGGAGGCAGAGATTGCAGTGAGCCAAGATCACACTACTGCTCTCCAGCCTGGGCAACGGAGCGAGACTCTGTCTCAAAAAAAAA